ACAATTCATTTTATTAATTTGTATATTCATTAAAATGTATTGAAAAAAGTAGCCTAAGCCTACAATGACAAGAAGCAACGGTTAAACATGTTTAAGTTGAATCAAATTGACTGTGAAAGTTGTTTCAACTTCTTAAACCTCTTAAACCGACTTTAAAAAAAGCATTTGTTGCCATGTTTTTTTTTATTATATTCAGTGGCATAGCGTCTAGGTATGCAGGTACATATGGGCCCGGGCAGATTGGGGGCCCGCCGAGCTGAGGGGAACTTTCAATTGAAACGAAGAAATTAATTTCCCTGCAATTTCCCTGAATTGCCCTTGTCCGTCAGCTTATCAGAATTCTCAGCTCAAGTCCGACTGGAGCCGGTGTCTTCTCTCTCTCTCTCTCTCTCTCTCTCTCTCTCTCTCTCTCTCTCTCTCTAGTCTTCCCCTTTACACAGCTGCTGTTGCAGCCATTAAAATAGTTCATTTTCAGTTTTTAATGGCAAAGTGGTAATATTTCGTTTCGTTCCTCTATTAAGTTAATTTAGAAATATGTTTGGAACATTTTATGTTTGTTAAATTCAGGTTTTTATTTTTTAAAGGAACGACCAAGCGGCCAGCGGCTGACAGTGAGTTGAGCATATGTTTGATCAATTTAGCCTTCTCAAATCAACACGATGACTTGCCTAAAATAAAATCTATAGACAAAGCGCTTTGTGCGTTTCACAGTTTTAATTTAAACATTTAACCTAGATAAATGAGCGCTGTTAGGCGCATGTTTATATTCTCACTGTATTAATATCATAAAATATGAGTTTATGCCAATACATCATCTACACACCCACAGCCAGTTTATGAGTGTATAATGAAATTATTTAGTGATTTTTTCTTGGGGAAAATATATCACAAGCAATTTCTGATTAATGTTTTTTTTTTTTTTCATCATTTTTCCAAGCTTCTCACTTGAACCCACATACCGAAAAAGCAAATTCCACCCCTGCGACGATGAATGGCATTCAGGTCAGTTACAAAACCTGTTCAAAGCATTTCAGAAGCTGTTTATTAAATCAAACACCATATTTTTTAAGTTTATCAGGAAATTATTGGAAGAGTTTGAAGTGCTTTAATTGAGAA